AAAAAAAACCGACACAGAGAGTTTGCTTAGGGCATTGAGATCAAATAGGTTAGTTAAATACAAATTATAGGTAAATGCTACAGTTCCATTACGGAACCATTCTGTCGGGATTTGTAACCGTTAGAACATCAAATAACATCGTGGATAGTTCATCTAACGGTTACAAATCCCAACTGAATGATTCTGTAACGTAGAATCTCCCGAAATTATATTCAAAATCAGACCTTGCAAAATCTAAATAACACATGTAGTAGCTTTATTTGCGTTTAAACTAAAGGAGAGTCAGTTTCGTCCAATCCAGCTAAAGCCTACACATGACATGATCCCACCAACAGAAAAAGAAGAAGAAAACACTCAACTACCCCCACTCCCAATACTGGACCCATTCCCGCTGCCCGACGGCCTAAAGCACGCGCACACCGGGTCCTTCTTCCTCCTCCCTATAAGATCCCTCAGCACAACACTCTTGCTCCTGAAAAATACCCCCCTTCCCTTGCCACTTTTCCTCTTCTTCTCCTCCTCCATCCTCAGCAATACGTACTGGATCTTCTGTAGCTCCAGCTGCAGCCTACCGATCCTCTCGGACACCCTTTTTGCCTGCTCACCCACTTTCCTGCGCCTCATCCTCACGGCCTCCTGAGCTTTTGGTGAGGATTTCCTGTCTGGCGAGGGACAGCTCTCGATATTCCTCACGAGCTGCCCGTTCACCTCCCACAGGTACTCCACCGTGTCCTCCGCCTCCACCAGCTGCTCTCTCACCGCCTCCAGATCCACGTTCTTCGACTTCCGCCACTTTTTTCCTGTCTCTTCCAATTTCGCCCTCAGAATACCCACAGTTGTCCGGAGGTTATCCAGCCGGACCTCGTCCGATGACAGCCTCTCCAGGATCCTCCTCTCGTTGTCCGTGCTCTTTCTTGGGAATTCCAGCATGTCAACTCTCGGCTTCTTCTCCATGTCAGACTCAGTCGAGGGCAGTTCGAACTTGTAATTACTATTATAGTTTGAGCTGTCGAGATGCTCCAAAACTATGTCCTTTTCTGTCATATTGTACGATATTGTGAGGTCAGGGTTTTCCCAGAGCCCGAGCATCTTGTCTTCTGCTCGGCTGTGGGCCTGCTTGCGTGGGCTGCTGGAGGTCCGGTCGAGGGGAATGTCTTTCATAGTGGGTTTTGTTGTCTTGACCTTGTGGGCCTTGTGCAGGTTGGACCGGTCCCGGCCCAAGCAGCGGACGGGCCTGGACGGGGGAGTCTCGGTCTCATCCGTGGATGATTGTTTTTCCCTGTTTTTCCGTGAGCTCAACCTTCTACGCAGCATGGGCTTGTTCATTTGCTCTATTCTCATCGAGATTGCTTTGATTTTAGTGTGCAGGTTTTGAAGGCTGGCGAGGGAATCGTCCACTGGAGGTGTTTCGGAAGTGCTTTTACAAGGGTTGGTAGCATCTTCGAAATGCTGAAAAGAATGCGGGAAATTAGAAATGTCGTGCTTTGGCTGGAATGACTGAAATGTCTAGAAATTTGCCAAATTATAAAAAGCTACATATCACAGCCTAAATTTTTCATAATTATCGCTGAAAGTATTTGTATAAACTTAACAAGTAAGCCTCAAGTGGTTATTATTCAAGGGAAGTAACATAAACATTCATTTGGGAAGAGACCAACTAAATTCAAGTATAAATAAGACTAATAAAAGAGATGTAACCCACTTGTGATGAGATTGATTAATATTATTTACCTCCTGTGGCTCATGATTATGGGACGACTTAACCTTTGTCTGAAGGCATGCATTGTTCTCGAGCAATGTGACATCATTTCTAAGGGCAGCAACAGCTGGAGCATATGCATGCAGCTGAGATTTCAGCTCAGTAATCTCCTTTTTCATCGAACAAATTTTCCCTTTCATCTCCAGAATCACGGACATCTTTGAAGTATTTTCGTTCTCGAGAATCTGATACAAACCAGCAAGCTCCCGCAACTTATTCTTAAGCAGAATTTCATGAATGGACAACACTTGAAGATCGGAATAAAACCCTGAGGCCTTAGCCTCCCATAACTCAAACTCGTTGTTCCTCTCTTGAAGCTCTGAACTTAAAATTTGCTCCCTGATTATATATTCTCCGATTTCATCACGGAGCTGAGTGAGTTCACTCTCCAAGTTCGTTTGAACCATACGAAGGCTTTCGATTTCAATTTTCTGAATGGAATTATATTGAGACTGCTCTAGCATATTTTTTTCCAGTTTCTGTTTTATCTGCATGGATGAATGAACATCATTTTCGAGCTCATCAATTGTTGCGAACAACATTAAGTTCAAGTTTTCAGCAGCTTCGAGCTTAACTTCAGAGTCCAAAAGTTTCTGTTCCATTTGAAGTAAACTTTTTTTTACGCTCACCTGATCCTTTTCCATCAATGCGTTATATTCTCTCATTCTTTGCATTTCCCTTTCCAAGTTGTCGATACAATCTTTCAGGACCAAATTTTCTGTCACTTGATAATCGACCTTCTCTGTCGTTAAGCTCATTCCCTGTTCAAGCCTTCTATTGATCTCAAGCTGTCTGTTCAAATCCTGGAGAAGTAAATTTGTTTCGGAAATTTTTTCTCTTCCAAAACTACTCAAAAAGGCCGACTCAATACTGGTTGCCAAATATTCGATCAGAAGAGTGCCATTATGTTGTTCTAACCAAATTTTCTCTTCCTTGAGATCACAATACCTTTTCAATAAGTCTTTGTTATCCTGATTCACTCGCAAGTAATCTTCCTTCAGTAAAGCGTAATCTTTATGCAAATCGACTTGCTGCTTATGAAGATTACCATTCTCTGCCTCAAGTGCAGCTGCATGCCAATTGCTCTCATTTGCATCTGATATGAGTTTCCTGTTCAAATCCAAAATTTTGTCTTTCTCAATTTTCACCATTTCAAGATTCCCCACCATTGTTTTGATCTCCTTTTCCAATAAAACCTTCTGAGACTCGATTTCCACCCCCTTTGACTCTAACTGCTTGAGTAGAGTTAAAAGAACCGAGTTCTCAACGAGTAGCAGTTCCTTATCATCTTCGTGTCCAATAACAGAAGATTTCAAATCCTCAATATATTCCAAGATATGGTGCACAAGAGCTCGTTCATTGTCAATCTCGCCCTTGCAAGTTGGGGTGGTCTCGAGGACTCTAAAAATCTCGTACATGCTCAACCTCAATTGTCCAATTTCATCTAATAGTATTTCAGACTCGACCTGCTGCTCAAGACTCTCCCTTTCGAGCTCTGATATTACTTTCTCGGCCAATTTCGATGCCTCAACGTGTTTCTGGCACTCAATTACAAGCGAGCAATTTTTTTCTTCCATATCTTTGATGATTTTTTGCAAGGTGGATATCTCAAACTGAGCTTTTAGAGATTTTTCGAGTTCATCTTCAAATTCCTTCTTCTTCCTGCTGTTTTCTTCTTGCAATAAATGAATCTTGTCCTTTAGCCTGGCCAATTTGGTCTCGCTTTGTATTTTGGAGCTCGTCCATTCTTGCTTTTCGAAGTTCATGGAAGCCTTGAGCTCCTCAACCTGACAGTGGAGGGCGTATTTCTCCTTCTCTAAGTCTACACATTTTTTCTCAAGACCGTTATACCTTTTTTCCATGGCTTTCAGTCTTCTCTCGACCGTATCCAGCTTAGAAGCTAATGTACCTCGTTCTTTCAAAAGAAAAGACCGCTCGTTCTTGAGCAGTTCACATATTTCCTCGAGCCCTTTTGATTTTTCCCTCAGACCTTCCAGTTCGACTTTTGCAGCCGATAGAGAATTCTCAATAATGGCATTTTTCTCCAAGAGCTTGTGCATGGTCTCGGTTATGGTCTCCAGCTGAGATATAATGGTAGCTTTCTCAGCAACAAGTGTGGCCTTTTCTCCCTCTAATGACTGACAAGATTCTTGCAATGATTTTGCCATCTGCTGTGAGCTTTCCAGCTCAGTTTTCATATCCAGCATGTAATCTTCAGAAATAAACTTTTCAGTCAAAATTCCTTGCATGCTTTCAAGCTTTTTCAAGAGAATTGCATTCTCGTTGGCTCCCATTTCACTTATTTGTCTCAGATTTGAGTTCTCATCTTTCAAGCTCTTAATTGAAGTCCCAAAACAGTTTGGGTTCAAACCAGCCACCTCCACTTGCTCGATTATAGCCTGGTAGCTTCCATTCAACCTCTTTAGTTCCTCTTTCAAGCTCATAATCTCCTTCTGAAGAGAATAACTTATATCAATGTGGTCCGAGACTTCTTTTTCAAGTCTCTCCTTGATCTCCCTTAGCCCAAGAATATCATTTTTCATATTCTCCACAGAAACAGCAAAACACACATTTTTTTCGGTCAGACTCCGATTTTCACCACGAATGTGCTGAACCTCCTCTTCAAGGAAACCTTTATTTGCTTCCACGTCTTTCAGTGTCTGTAGCACATTGTCGAGATCCACCTTTAAGGTCTTTTGATCGTCTTGAGACCGAGCGTGCAAATTCTGCAGACTCTGTAAAGTGACCTCGATTTCTGCGCAACGAAAATTCTCATCTCTCAAACGTGTCGTTAAATTCTCCAACTCCACTTGCTTTTTAAAGAGCTCCTGATCTTTTGTAGCTATACTTTTTGCCAGATTCTCTGCCTCGGTTTTCAGGGACAAATTCGACCTCTCTAAGAACTTACAATTCTCTTCAGCCTTCTCGAGTTTCGCGTTTCTAACTGACACGTCGCGATTAAGTTGCTCAATGACCTCTTTTGCGCACGATAACTCCTTCTCAAGTTTGAATATTGTGTCGAGGCAGCATTCGTACTGTAAAGCCGAAGCATCTCTCTCATTGTTCAGATCAGCAAGAGCCCTCTTAAGCGCAGCAACTTCATTTTCGGCTGTTTCTGCTTTCTCCCGAAGTAGTCTCTCTTTGTTCTCAGTAATGGAAACAATATCCTCGAGAGCAGATATTTTCCCTATACACGCTTCATACTTTCTAAAAACAGCTTCTTTCTCGACCTCCAGTTTTGAAATATCATCCTTAAGAGCCTGAGCTTTACATTCCGCTTCTACTGCTCTCATATCAAGTCCCTTTCTATCCTTTTCCGTGTGAGAAAGCGCTTCCTCCAAATCAGCTATCTTGTGCAGTAACTGCTCGTGTTTGATAAATCCCGCATTCTTCTCGACCTCAAACTGCACAAGCGCTTCCTTTAAAGTCTGAAGTTCTATTTCGGCTCGGCCAGCTTTCTCGTCCAGCCTCTTTGCATTTTTCTCTGCGTTATCAAGATCGACCTCCATACTCCAAAGCTTCTCCGTACACTCCCGGTACTTCACGAGCACATCCTCCTTCTCAGCCTTCGTGTTGGAAAGTGCCTTCTTCAGGTCTCGAGCTTCCTGCTCGGCTTTTGTGGCCTGTTCTGCCTGGCGAGCAAGAATTTCCACGAGGCTTCGGCTCTCATTCGGTGATTCGGGAAAAATATCAGTAGCTAGGTCGTTGTCATCGTTTTGGAAAAGAGCCCGGACGGGAAATTTGGCATCGGGGGTGCGTGGGTCCCGCTCGGGAGGTCGGGAAGGGGAGAAGTTGTCAGCAAGGTCAGGGGGTGGGAGATGGTCGGGGAAGGCGCGGGCAATGGCTCGGTGGGCATGGCGGAGCTCGCCGGTAGCGTGGTTGTAGCGCTCAGCCAGGGCGCGGTACGCACGGTAGAATTCCTCCACGAGCCTCATCAGTTCAGGCCTCTGCTTGTAGTACATCTCGGCCCGCCTTGCAAACGAGTCAGCATCAGCATCTTCCTCGATCAGCTTGATCATGGATTTCACTTTCGCATCCATGTCTGATTTGAGTGACCGGGATTTTTCATAAAATGAGAGAAACAAACACATTAGAAACATGAAAAGGTGTAAAAAAGAAAAGCAAAGATAAAAGTATGTGGAATATTTGGCGCTAAAATTGATTTGTTTAGGGAGAATTATTTAATATAGTGGTGAAATAACAATTTGAATCCAAGATTTTTTTTTTAGTTTTTTACCAACTTAGATATGTGGTGTAAAGGATAGATTTGCTACATTTCAAACCTTATAAAGTTTTAATTTGCTTTGTTAGATAAATCATATGTTAATTTAGCAGGCAGCGGACAGAAGGGAAAGTACCCACCAGTAAGATTTTCTTGGAGCCATTTTGAATTCTTAGGGCTGATGTGGCTGTCCCACCACCACGAGTACTTGCGTCTAGACTCAGAATGCGACAAGGCCGCCATAACTCCAGAAAAGCAACAGAAATTCCAATCGGCCGATCTCGCAACAAACACGTGCTCCTTTTGCCAGTTAACAACAGGACCTTCAGCCGAGGCTAGTATTAGCGACAAAATATATGCTTAAGCACCACGGTCATCACTACAAAAAAGACAACATAGAAATAATTATCGCTTAAAGTATGATTCAGACAAAAATTTAGACTTTGGTCAATCAAGGAAGTTTGGTAATACCTCAAGATTGACAAGGATTAAAAAATGCAGAAAATGATGAACTACACGGCTGCAGGCGGCTGCAGCATTGCAGCCTCTAATTCGTGGACCAAAAAACCTGAATCAAATCGGTATTTATTTACATTAATCAGAATCCACATGTTTAGAATGAAAAACTAATACGTGAAGACATCAATGACACCAAAAATGCAAAGAGGGATCGCCACAGATTCATAATAGTCCACAACATGATCTTTCTACAAATGCTAAAAATAATGTGTATCTCATTCTCAAAGAAAAGACAAGAAAATGGATATAATTACAGAAGGTAAAACAACAATGTGCATTCATCCCTAACAGAAGAAGGATGTGTATAGTTCTTAGTCTATAATCTCAGAATTATTGAGTGAGATACTGCTAATGAATGTCTCTGTTGCCGAAAACCGAACAAAACAAAGAAGACAGAATACATCAAAGAACATCAAATCGACAGTACTCACGGCACAGACATTCCGAGATCCACCGAACATAATCCTTCCAACTTTTGCAAGCAAAGTCTCAGATAAAGCAGAAATTAAGCAGACCAAAATGAAAACGACTCAGGTTACTTTCTAAATTAACAAAATCTGGTGACCAGTCAATTGTTGTTTTCATCAAACAAAGAAAGAGAACAATTCAACGAAGATGAGAAATTACTCTTATTTGTTTCCATGCGAATGAGTACAGATCAACGGCTTCTTAAAAAGAACGAAATCTGGTGAAATAACCTTAAACCACCGAAATCTTACACACAGCATCTCAGAGTGGAACGAATAAATCACAGAAAACAATCAGCTAAGGTACATTCATGCAAATGGGCCTTCAGTAAAACTACCAAAAATCGAACCTTTACATTCATGGACTCGAAAAACATTGAATCTCGATTCAGTAGCTTTTGTCGCGAAAATCGCTCCATCTGCGAAATTTCGCCTTTCACCCCATTATTTTCTGCTTCTCACTTCGCTCACTAATGAACCTCCAACTTCTTTTTTGATCGATTTTATTTTTCTCTCAGACTCTATTATGCTATCAATCAATTCTGAGCAGTGGGCGAATGTGTGATGTTGAGTCCCGTGGTTCTTGGTTGGTACTTTGTCAGATGACGACCTGTAAAAACACACGACTGAATATTTTTCACACCTATCACTACTCCCCTCTTTTAATGGTTTGAAAAATTTAAAAAGGAAAAATGAAATGATCCCTACATTTTAAGGCTGTGTTTGGTTCAACCGAGAGGGAAAGGGAGGAGAGAAATTGTAATGGATGGGACCTTGTTAAGATGGATTTTATAAGAGGGGAGTTGAAGGAAAATGGTAAAACTTGTTTGATCAAAAAATAAAAGAGAATAAAAAATATTATGGAATTGACTATTTTGCCCATAATGAAACAAGAGATAAAACAATAAAATAATCTTAATATTAAGGATAAAAAAAAGTAAATTTATTTCTTTACATTTTTCTTCCCCTTCAAATTCTCCCAATTTTGGAGGGGAACCATTTTTACTATTTGGAGGGATTTTAATACCAAATTTTATGTCTCCTCCCCCGTAAAAAATTGAACCAAACAAGTGAAATATAAAAGTTTCTCTCCCTTCCTCCTCTCCCCTTCAAAAACCCCAACCAAACACTACCTAAGAGATATGGGTGCACAAAATTCAGATAACCAAGTGGAACAGAACCGAAAAAACAAAAAGGTTTGGACCGAAATCGAAATCGACATCGAAACAAAATATTTAATTTGATTTTTGGTTCATTTTTTTTCCCGAAAAGGTAGTGGTACGCAAAAGACCCTAGACCGGCTGGAATCGACCTCGCTTTGAGCTTCCTCACTAGTACATTGTCAGCGGACCTGCAAAAACTCTCGCACCAGAGAGGTTCTCCAGTGAAAACCTCCGATACTTAAATGAGTATATGAAGAAGCCGATAAACAATAAAGTTGTAGAGAGAATATAAGATAGTGCATACATTGTAGTCCTAAATAAAGCTACTCCACTCCTAATTATAGGGGTGAGCACAAAAATTCACTTGTTCACCACTATGCACGTAAATAACAAATATAATAAGATAAGTATGGTGGCAGCATTAACACGAACCAATCATTTATCCTATCTCCTATCCAAAGTCCAACCTCATGTGCACACTATTGTTGGTCCACAAATCGACCTTCGCTCAGACCTTATAACGATGCCCAATTCGTAGAAGTATCCCTTACGACCAAGATCCTGCCTTGGGCTTACAACGAGGTACTTATCGCCGGCCGAGGGTCATGCCCTGGTCTTACAGGCGATGTGTCCTTCGCTCACGACGAAAAGAGGAGATTACCCCTATAGGTCCGTTCTATAGCTACGGGGATAATTGTTCGACGGCTGGTACAACTCGCATCGAAGGCTACATGGTTCACATGCATACACTAATCATACCACACATATAACATCAATTATTAACGGCATAGATATTTCATAAATAAACCCACCTGGATATCGAAGCAGAATATTGCACACAATTGCTGGTAGGAATAGAGCACGACTCGTCAAACACCTATATTTATCAAGATAGTCCTATCAACGTACTATCCCGACACTTAGAGACATTCACAACTTCTTCACTTAGCCGAACATTATCGACTAACTGATAAGTGGAATCTTTAGTGGAGTTTGGAACCTTTGGATTTACCAACTAGACTCGAAGGACCAATTAAATATCATTTAAGACCGACTCGACATGAAAAACAAGGTGACGGGTCGTAGGTAAGTCAAACAAGTCGGAAAAAGTCACACTGGGCTTGATTGGCGCAACCGGGGGCTATCGGGGCGTGTTGGCACGAGCCTGGGCACTGGGGTGCGGCCTGGGCTGCTACTGGGGCGCTGGGCTGGGCTGCTGGCAGTGCCCCGGGCAGACAGGGAAAAAATATACTTACCGGGTTTCGGGAGTTTGGCTCGAGGTTTTTATCTCAAATGTTTACACATAATAGAGGACACATAAAAACACATTTTCACAAAAGATTGACCTCTAAACATCACCCTAACTCAGATAAATCATTTTTGTAATAACATGCTCAAAATCTGAATATACGAGTTCACATAGTTATGGTTCGAATTTAACCATGAAATTTGGACACAATGATGATCATCTAGAGAACACAAACACTTCACAATTTTAGCTCATTTCAGCAAGTACACGGTTTTATACGATTTTTACAAGAAACATGCCAGAAATCAAAATCGCCATTTGACCAAGTTAAACATCAAATTTTGACCTGATATTTCTCCACATAAACCTCAATATATGAAAGCAAACATATCAAAATTTCACATCATTTGCCTAAGAATATGATTTTTCATGAATTTTACAAGATACAACAGCATGCTTGACTTAAAAAATTCATATCTCAATATATACATATCAAAATGACCCAAGTTCTTCACCATCAGACCAAGGACACTCCAAAGTACCTATAACTCCAGGGTTTCTACAAATATCTCACATGTCCTTCAGTTTCAACATTAAATCAAAGAGACGACCACAAATCTACATAAATATAATAACACATAATTCTCAAATCACATTAATTCACCAAGACAACACATATATACATATACACATAAAAAATAGGTCCAGAGAAAGCCACATATTACCGTACTTCGAAGAGGAGACAAAAAAACGGGCAAGAAGGTGACGCGGGGCGCTCGGCGGTGCACTCGGCTCGTGTGAGGCTTGCGGCTGGACTCCAGTGCGCGTGTTCACGGTGTCCTTGGACGACGAGGTCTACGAACATAGGAGGACAGTGGCTCGATCGTTGCTGCTTAGATGATCATGGCTCGTGGAACGTTCACCGGGGATGTGCTGCGCAAGGAGGGGTTCGCCGGGGTGTGCTACGTAGCGCGGGGTGCGGGCTCGGGGAGTGAAGGCGGTAGGAGGGACGATCAGACGATGGTTTGGAGAAGAGTTTTAACGAGAGAGTGAGTTGGGAGAGATAGCGGCGTAAAAATAAGAATAATGAGAAAATGGGAAGGCTCATACATTTATATTTTTATACTAGGGTTCACAAACTTGCCAACTAAGTAAAGAAAAGCAGGTCAGCGTGCGCTGCTGGCGCGGTGATGAAGGATCGTGTGTTTTGTTCCACTTGCTTGCCTTGAACACAACCTCACCACAACTTGCTCTCGACGGATAGGTGTGATCGACTCAGTTATTAGCCTAACTCTCTCACGATACTTGAGTTCACTTGGTAGTTAGCCCCACTTCCTTGATTTTGAACTAGCTTGGGTCTTAGCCTCACTAATTCAGTTGCATGATCGAACTCTCACGAATCCTAACACACGGTTTGAAC